GCAGTGGGAACGTTGTCACCGTCTCTGCATCTACGCTACCCCCTGATCTTGCGAATGTCCCAGCGGGCAAACCCTGGGCGTAGAAGCTGTTCTGAGGTGGGAAGGGAAGCTGGGACAGCTGTAGGGCATATGCCCTTCGCTCCCTCCCACCTGCAAGGGTGCCTGCTGCACCTGCCCAAACACAACTCCAGCAGCTCAGCCTCAGGACAGGGGTGGGGAACGCCCGGCCTGCGGGCTCTAGAAGGCCCACAACACCATTTGGTTTGGCCCTGCCAAGGCATTAGGGGTGAGTTCATTAACGGTTTGACCAAATAGAGCAGGTTAATTTAAAAAATATATATATATTTTATTGACTTCAGAGAGAGAGGGAGGCAGAGGGAGAGAGAGATAAAAACATCAATGATCAGCCCGGCTGGCGTGGCTCAGTGATTGAGCTTTGACATATGAACCAGGAGGTCACGGTTCAATTCCTGGTCAGGGCACATGCCCGGGTTGCGGGCTCCATCCCCAGTGTGGGGCGTGCAGGAGGCAGCCGATCCATGATTCTCTCCCATCATTGATGTTTCTATCTCCCTCTCCTTCTCTCTTCCTCTCTGAAATAGATAAAAATATATTAAAAAACAAAACACATCAATGATCACAGATAACCATTGCTTGGCGGCCTCCTACCAGGCTCATTTTTAAGGTGCTCGTTTTGTATGGCCCAAGAATGGTCTTACAAATATCCAATTGGGCCCTGGCAGAGAAAAGGTTCCCCACCTGACTTAGAGCATAACCACGGAGCATCAGCGACCCAGGTGGTGTCGGAGCGCAGCTCTGCTTCTGGGACTTGAGATCTATTTGTGAGGCCGTCTCGACCTGTGCTTTGCAAGGGGTAAGGAACATGGGGGTCACTGGAGGTCTCGTTACCCTTTGGATTCTGATCCCGGAGGTCTGGGGGGTGAGGGGGAGCTGAGACTTGCATTTCTAACAAGAGCCTGGGCGAGGTCTTCGCCGATGGCTCACCAACCTCACTCGCGGTCACAAAGGCCTAGCGGTACTGCGTAGGGGCACACTTGTCAGGGAGACGTCTCTACACAGCGTCCTCCTTGAACTGCTGTGAACAAGTCCTTTCCCTCCCGGGTTGAGTCTGTGACTAATCCTCCCTCCCATTCCCCTAGAGCCGTGGTCGGCAAACTGCGGCTCGCGAGCCACATGCGGCTCTTTGGCCCCTTGAGTGTGGCTCTTCCTAAGCCTTAGGAGTACCCTAATTAAGTTAATAACAATCTACCTACCTATATAGTTTAAGTTTAAAAAATTTGGCTCTCAAAAGAAATTTCAATCGTCGTACGGTTGATATTTGGCTCTGTTGACTAATGAGTTTGCCAACCACTGCCCTAGAGAGAGTTGGAGCCTGTAGGGCACTCATTTACCTATTAAATCAGGGTTCAGCTCCACAAGTTCAAATGTGGGGCCCTTCGGTGGTTTTTCTCTGTCCCATGTGAGTCCCGCTGGTGGGCTCTTAACGTTCCCCAAGTGTGGGCCTCGGGTCAACCCTGAAACTTGAAAACGGGCCCCACACCAGGCACCGTGAATTGGAAACGCTGGGTGAGGAGTTGCGTGTTTTCCACAAGCCCTCAGGTGAAGCGAATGCATAACCGAGAGGTGGGGAGGACCACTGCCTTTGCCAGGGATGGAGAGAGAAGAGTCCAGCAGAATCGCTGCAGGATTCCAGGGCAGGAGGAATGGGGGACACTGAGACAGGAACACCAGGACCAGGCCAAACAGTGTGAGTAGCTTGCAGCCGGCCTGCAAAGAACAAGCCACTATCTCCCCCAGCCAAGGACATTCTGAGAACAAAGAGTTAAAGACCTCCCAAATGAGAGAATGCAGAGAGGGAGAGGGGGAGGGGAGGGGGGAAAGGCGAGAAGCCAGAAGCCTTGGGGCTCAGCAAGATAGAGCAGCCAGGATTCTGGGAAGAAAACCTCGAGGCTTAATCTGTACCAAGATAGTCAGCAAAAGGAGCTTTTGAAACCTACAGGCAGGAGGAGAGCATATTACTCCTCCAACTCGCTTTTCTGGATCAGCTGGGGAAAAGCCCATCTGGGCCCCAAGCCGGATGAGAGAGATTTGCTTGAGTTGCATTTTCAATAAAGGTGCATGCTTTAGGCGCTTTAATAAAATGGCTTTTCACAACGCAGTCAAGGTCTCTCGTATTAAATTCATTTCTTTGAGAAGAGAAGGATCGAGGTTGGGGACAGCTCTCTCCCACTAGCTCAGGGGGCTGTCCTGTCTGGTGACACCTCCCTGGGGTCAGTGAGAGGTGCCTGTAACAGAGCCATTGGGGAGGAGCAGATATCCAAAAACGAGGAAAGGGCTGCCTTATGGGATTAAATTGCAATTGAAATAATAATTGCTCTAGCAATATAAAAAAAAAGGCTTGTGCAAGACTGTGACTGCGTCTTGGACTGTATGCACTGCATGTACCAGGTTAATGTTCATCTTAAGAAAGAAAGAGTGGACTGGTATGTTTATTAGTAAGGGTTTCAAGGAGTCTTTTCTCCCATATGCAAGATGGAAACTGTTTCTGATACGAGGAAAGGCTTCTAAGGGTAACAGAGAGGAGGCGGTGAAGAAGACAGGATGTGCATCGCCCCCCCCTCCCCCAGGGTAAAGACGGAGGGGCCAGGGGTGCGGGTTCACATGGGACGGGGGAAGCACCTTCAGCGACTGGGAAGAGGCAGCAAACCCTTTGGAGGGAACTGTCGCATGAGTTCAGCTTCATCAAGGCTGAGGTTGAGAATTACAGACAGAAAAGCTGTATCCTAGACCAGGCCGTCCAAAATACAAATGTAGGAACCGGAAAGTAATGCCAACAGGGGCGTTGTGTCCCCTGGAGAGGGGCATCCAGGAGGGAGAGGGGGAGCCGTTTATAAAAAGTCTGATTTCCTGCACACTCACACGGGGAACAGCCAGCTATAGGCGGACACGTTGTGCAAAACTTCAGCATACAGCTTGGGGGCAGAGTGGCTGAGAAGCCCTGGCTCTGCAGGGACTCATTCCTAGAAAAGTGATAGAGTGATCGAATCCAAAGAAAACGGATTAAAAGCCGCTTTCTAATGAAGGGAGTCGCATTTAAATCAGGACAAAGGATGAATTCTAGCATCAAAATGACTGAAAAAAAGAAAACAAAACAAAAACCTCTTATTTTGACAACAATATTAAAAACAAAATGTGTTTAAAAGGAAGGCACACAAGCAGATGTGCTCACAGATGATTTCTGTGCCACGGCCTTAATGAAGAAAACATGTTCCCATTGTTCTGCGTAAAACCCAAAGCCCGCCTCAGGCCACGTGTCAGCCAGAACAAAGGGAGAACCTCAAAGGCTCGGTCTTTTTAAAATCTGTTTTACATGGGAGTTTCCAAGAGTGCAGGTGCAAAGTCACGTTTTAAAAAGGTGAATCCTAACCCTGACAACGAAAGTACCAAAAGAGAAACAAAAAACAAAAACCTAACTAGGAAACCTGTAGGTTTCCCAGCGCCACGGAGACAAAAACCAGGGGAGCGGAAGCGATGCGGCCCCTACCGCGCAGTGG